TACTGCGCACTGGAAGTTCAGGTGGTTGTGCTGAGCACAGAAGCAATTTCTGTGGTTCACAAGAGTGTCTTTACAGTCATGCACTGCACAGCAGGGGTGGCCAATCGTATCACCATCACAAACAGCTGCCTGCATTTTCACTGTAAACTTATTGAGTCCATCAGAGCTTGCAAAAATAAGTAAGAACTGACTCAGCTTCCCACTTTTGTCCTTGAAGACAATGAAGCACAGATTGCAGGCATGGGGATATTGCTCTTGTCCGATACCCTCTATGAGATGATTGCGCTCCTGAAGTGCAGGGGCAAGGCGATCCTTTTGTGAGCTCTCGTTATGGGGAAGTTGCAGAATAGTTCGTCTTTCTGCTTTCTCAAGTAGAAGAGAATATAGGAAAAACCCGTTGAGTACATCCACATCTTGAAGTGACAGTGAAGTCTGCCAATCAACATTTGCTTTCTCGTATCTGTGATAATTGGACTGAAAGGCAAGTTTGTTGTTGAGAATGTGGGCATGGGGAACACGTAAAGAGGTGTTGTATATTCGTGCACAATTTGATGATGATAACCTACAGAACATCCAATTGAGAACCTGTATCATCATAGAAGCTAGACAACTTACCAACCGAAAACTTTCGTATTTGCAAAAAACTCAAGCAAGGAGCTCTCAATGAAGAAATGTTGAGCAACCTGTATCACATCAGGTACGTCACCATAGTAGGTGCGTGTATTTGAAGAGTTGTGGACAATGTAGTTATGGTGATATCGGCGTTTACATTCTATTTGCAGCAGATTAATGGAAGTAAATTTTGCATTGAGAGATTATAACATACTGCGGCAATAAAGAGAAGTAGTGTAGATGGGGAGAGCACCACTCGTTAATGTGAATAGGGTTGCCTGGTGGGTGACAGGCTCCCCAAGTGTCAAGATGTCTGAATCCACTTCTCGACGATTGACACAGAAAGCATCTTGGCATGATCGGACAGGTGGATACAGATTGCGGTACACTGTTTCACAAAGTTAGAGTAATTTTGTCAGTTGTAAGCAATTTTAGAGTACTCACAAGTTCCAAGAGTCAGAGAAAATTTATTGTATATAGTGATATCTTCCTCCTTGGCTTCAATTGCACTTAGTGTTTGAAAGTCCGGTTCGGTCCGGTTTTTTGATGCCCAGGGGCGTTAACCGTAACCGTAACCGGTCTGCCTTTTCCCCAGAAGTCAAAAGACCAGACCAGACCGCAAAAAGACCGCAGACCGCGGTTTTTTGCGGTCTATAGACTGGTTTCGGTCTGCATCAGTTTTAACCGGTTTATGACCGGTCTTTAGGCCAATATTTTAAGATTATGAATCGGTAAATTTATTAACATCTCTAATAGCTTCAAAACGAGCCCAAGAACGTTAAATTCCGTTAGGAATTGGTGCTTCTATAAAATAAGTCTGGTACATCTATTATTCCCAAAAGTAATTTACATTTTAATTCATATCTCTCTCGTTTTTTTACCAAATCGTACGTTCTTTGGTGCGTTTTAAAGGGTATTTAAGGGGCTACAAAAGACCGGTCCAAACCGGTCAAGACCGGTTCACGTTAACCGGTTTTTTTGCGGTCTTTACATTTCAAAAATAAAAGACTGTAACCGCAGGTCCGGTCTTTTGCAGTCTTGGTCCGGTCTGGTTACGGTCTTTTTCCAGTCACGAGACCGGACTTCCAAACACTAATTGCACTTAGCACTCCCCAGATTGAATATCTGAAGGTAGACCAGAGAGCTTCAATTGCAGAACTATCTTCTTGATCCATAGCCCCCATAAATACTTTGACAATCTTTGGGGGAAGTGTAGTTGGAGGAGCACGCTTGTCTTGCATCTGAGACTCAACATATGGTCGAGCAAGTTGTGCCAGTCGGAAAAAGCGAGGAATCATGTGGAAACCAAGTTTGTAAAGACTTGGAAACTTGAGCAGAGCTTCGGCTGTGGACTTTATATCCATGGTTTAGCGTAGATCCTTTTGAAGTGGCAAAAGCGGAGAACGCGACGCGACGCGACGATAAATGGTCACAGAAAGTGACATGTAGTGACACCTCGATGGGAGGTTCTCTTCCGAAATTTCGCATTTTTCTGTTCCTCAGGACACCGGTACTCATAATTTTAATGTAGATTGACTTAAAACTATGCTTAGTTGCGTAAAGTGCATTTCTGATAGTTTCAAGCTTCTTCCCCCGGGGTACAGAGGGTGAACTATGTTCTTATTGACTTTGTTTACTAGTATTGAACAACAACTTCCACCACCGGCCAATTGCGGTCATCAGGTGATTATTCTCAGGAGAATATTCTCTCCCAGTCGATTCAACGCCCTCCAATTTGTTGACGCGTCGGTCACCTGACAGTTAATTATTTACAACTCTGCTTCAAAAGGAAAATCAAGATCTGCTAGGACCAACTCTAATGGTGAAAAAAAAAACACTTCAAGGTTGCAATACGCCAGATTACAAGGATATGGACCCCTCAATTCAAAGGCGCTTTGTATTCCTGCAACTTCTAGCCAACTTCTGGCAATATGGGGGCGGTGCGAAAATAACATGGGCGTTGGCCCTGAATTTCTTCATTCTCGGCCCCATCATCGTCCTGCATCGTTCCCTAAGAGGCCTTCAGTAATGTCGGCGTTCTTCCAGATAGATACATCTCCTCAACTCGATGCAATTCCTCATTGTCACATCCTTTCTATAGGTTTATCCACTTCGTGAACCGCAGCGCCCACATGTCTGCCTCCAGTGAGTCCTGACCTGGAAAGACAGGTCAACAGAATGGACTCCGATACCACTCAAGTTGGGGAAGACTATGCCCCTGGAGACTGGAACCCAATTGAGAAGGCTCCTCCCCGATTCAGTTGCGATCAGGCTTCGCTTGCAGACAATCCTTACGATTATGTTGGTCTCTAAGTTGCAAGGTCTTCATGCGCCTTTTTGACTCTTCCGACAATTTTTAGGCTTCTTCTAAACGAAGTACACCTTCTAAGCCACACTCTCCGTTTCCCCCTTCTCAGGCGGAGATCCAGGAACAGGTTCGTCGACGCCATGCACCTTGCAGATCCCACTCAAAACCTCTCTCTAGACTGGCGAGAAACCATGGCGCTCCGGTGATACACGGCGCTATGATATGCCAAAGAATGGGGATGGGTGGCAGAATAACGCAATGGCGGAAAAGTACGACAACGAAATGTGCGATGCCTGGAAAGATGAGGTGGATAAGTTGTTGATCTTCGTATGCCCAGGTTTGCTGCTGAACTAACACAGAACAGGCTGGTCTCTTCTCAGGAGCCGTAACCGCTTTCACTACCCAATCCTATCAGTGGCTAGGCGAACAATCCCAGGATTCTTCAGCCTGACTTCTCAGCTTCATCGCAACACAACTCGCAAACTCTACCAATCCCTTACCACCATCCCTTGCCATCCCAGAATTCACCGTCACTCAAGCTCAAATCCGGATCAATGTAGTCTGGTTCCTCAGTCTCACAGTCAGCCTGACAACTGTGCTAGTCGGTATCCTGTGCCTACAGTGGCTCCGGGAATTCCAACGCGACGCAGCCCTCCCTCACAAAGATGCCGTGGCCCTTCCCCAAATGCGATACGAGGGACTGATCCAATGGCACGTCCCCGACATCCTCTCCATTCTCCCCCTCCTCCTCCTCCAACTATCCCTCGTCTTCTTCTTCATTGGTATCCTCGACCTCCTCTGGTCCCTCAACACCCACGTGGCAGCGTGCGTCTCCGCAGCAGTTGGCTTGGTCATACTCTTCCTGATAGCGACCACAGCCCTCCCTACCCTGCAACACGCCTTGACAAAAGACAAACACCCTCGCGTTGCCCAGTGCCCTTACAAATCCCCGCAGTCATGGCTCTTCTACAGCGCTGGGCACTGGTTCTTCTGGCTGATCAGCTCCTTCAACCCCCCATGGTCAGCCTTTGATTCAACGCGGTTCCACCGCCTGTTGAAATCTTCCGACGACAACAGCTGGCTTGCATACGACATGCGCTGGCGCAACCTTCGCGATGCCGAAGCTGTCTCCTGGGGCACACCCAAGACGACCCGGGATTCCGACGACGTTGTTCACGGCCTCCACTGGATAAACAACACATTCGCACTGGAACCGCGGCCCAGTTGAACACGGAGGAAATCAAGTCCTTAGTTTGCGTCAAGTCCCTCATCACACGAGACTCCATACGCACCCTAGGCGTCGTCATGGCATGGGCTCTCCTCCGTCAATTACTCCACCACCCCCACCCCCTCTTCCCAACCTTCGACAATCAACGCACCCCATCGACGCAGAGCCACCCAACCTCAGCCTCGGCCTCAACCTCGACTACATTAAACTCGCTGGCGAGCTCTTTGAAGAGCTCGAAGTATGGCTATCGCGGGGAAAGGAAATGGGTAGGTGGGAGAGGGTCAAGGTGTGTACGGTGGGGATGATGAGGCTGTTTCCTTCTTCGATCGACATCGCGGCGCTGGATACTGTGTATCCGGTACAGATGGCGAAGGCAGCGGGGCTTGTGAGGGCACTGGATGTGCATATGTCTAGGCTTGGGGGCGCGGCGGCGGTGTTGGGGAGGGAGAGGGAGAAATGGTGGCATGCTTTTTTTCGGGGAAGAAGCTTGTGAGGTTGGGGAGTGGGCTTTTTTGGTTAGTGGTTTTGAGGGTATTGAAAGAGATGACGGGTGAGGGCGGTACTCGACTATTTATTTATTTTAGGTGCGATATGTAATACATTAGACATATATACTCATTGTGTAGGTATTGGATTAAATGTTATTGCATGGGGATTAATTCTGCCGCCCCCCCCACTCATCTCTCACAAAAGGAAAAGGTGGTAAGGTAAATTTAACGGTCGAAAAACGGAAAAATGAGTAATAACAAACGAGAACGTTCTGCAATACTTGGACTCAATTCGATAAAGAGGACAGTGACAAGATACGCCATCGACTCAGACTAAATCCTCTTGACTAAGAAATGGTGTAAAACATCTCCGCCTCGACTCTGCGAACATGATTCACCCAACCAGGAAACTAGTATTATGTGTCATAAGAATATGTAGTATGCATCCTGGAATGATATAGAATGTATATATAACGAGCGGATTCGACGTTTATCAAGCACGTCTGTCCATCCATCCAATCCAGTCCCGAGCCTCCGCTGCCAGTGCTATAGCTAGTTTTGTATACGGTTATCAATCTGAATAGAGTAAGGTGGGACAAGTGGATGGACGGGTAAGGGAAATAGAGGAAATGGGAGATTTAGATAGGAAAGGACAGAGATAATAAGGATCGTGGTCACTATAGGTTGTTTTATCCATTAACCTAGTATAAGCTTCCGTTGTGTTCTTCGTTTACTGTATGGTCCCCGAGGTCCAGCGGGAGAGGGACTCCGGGTGAACAGAAGAAAGAATAAAAGGGGGGGGGAAAGAAGAGAGATAACAATGTTATAGATTACTTCTCTATACGCTGCTGGCTGCGTCGTGGGGGTGACGAGCAGCGGTCGGAGGGATAGCCGACGTTAAAGGGAACGTTGGGGTCAAAGTAGAAGTGGACGCGGCAATAGTCTTTCCATGGCGTCTAAGCAAAGGGCTGCCCAAAATATCCAGGCGGTTCTCTGCTTTCATGCGTTTCGCCGTGACGCGTTCAGGGTAGTTGCGCATGAACATTTCTGTGAAGTGTGTGCCGTACTGGATGCCCTTATCCTTAACCTGAACGTCTTTGCCCTGGTCACGGCTATACTCCGGGAGGGGCTGGACGACAGAGGAAAAGTTGGGCTCGTGGAAGTATGCAAAAGCGTACCGCTCGCGAGTGTTGAGGACAACTTTGTGTGGTGTGGAGGGAAGGTAGTCGTTTGTCATGTATTGCATCATGTCGCCTACGATAAAACGGTGAAAGTCAGAAACTTTCAATGTTTCACTGTTATGTAAGGGACATTTTACCTGGGAAAACGGTGAGAACGTTCTCAACTGGAGGAACAAACGACCAGCTCTCCTGTTGGTCCTCCTTGAGTCCCCCCGAGTACTTCTCCCAGTTCCTCGACGTGTCACCATCCGTTGGCGGACGGACGAACAGGCCCCCGACGTCGTCTTGTCCAGCAATGACCAGGAGCCCATAATCCGTATGCGCACCAATACCACGACCTGGCTTGCCCTTGCCATTGGTCTTGTCGGCCTCGGGGAATCGTAAGACTCGCATATGGTGCCACCCGTCGTCCGTGAGGTCAGTGAATACATTGGGGTTAGCGAGGTTGAGGCCAAGCGCGGTAAGCTGGAGGAGCTTCTCGCCAGAGTCACCTAGGACGGCCATGAGTCGTTTCATGGCAGATTCGTACAAGGTGTCTGGCCATGGGCATGGGCCGTGACATGGCCACTTTTGTTGGACGCGCGGATCGGAGAGAGCGAGGTCTTTGGTGACTGTGAAGATCTCTGAATAGTCTGCGATGCCATCTGTGAGCTCTTCGCCCGAGGCAATGTAACCACTGAAACTCTGGTCATCAACGTGTTTCGCTTTTTCGTGGTGGGGGCGCTTGAAGTAGGATTTGCTGAGGACGAAGGCAGCGCGGAGGGCGGAGGCCTGGTCGGGGGTTAATTGGATTTGGAATATGCCGTCTTTCCGCCATGTTTGGACCATCTGGTGGCCGAGGGCGCGGTTTTCTGGAGTGGGTGCTATGTGTGGGGAGGAGGGAAGTGTGAAGGTGGTGAGTTGACCGATGGCGGGTGCGGGTTGGCGTGGACAAAGTGAATGTGCTGGTAATGGCACTGCCATTGCGGATGTACAAGGAACATGGGTGAATGAACGACGTGATGATGGTGAAAAACGGGGCAGCACGGTGTGGTGACGGAGAAGAGATTGGCGGTGAGGTTTGAGAAGGCTAGCCATGGTGTACGGTGAGGAGAAAATGGGAGGGAAGAATATGAGGCTACGGGGTGACCAGGGACAGAACGCGGATGAAGAGCGGGATGAGAGAGACGAGCGATTTGCATGCTGTAAGATTTTAAAGAGAAGAAGAAGAGGAGGAGTGTTTACATTTGTTGTCTACGTCTGTAGTCAGTGAACGACGTCATATGATTAAATTACAGGGTCCTCCACTCTGATCATAGGTCTCACTGTTCATCCTAAACAAATCACCCTCACCCAGCGTCTCCTTAACGATCTAACAACAAAAGATATTTCTCCGAACGCCACAACGCGTTGTTTAATATGTATGCGTACTTTCTTTGACAATCAAAACAAAACATATAACGTATACAAAACGTATACTCCCACTTACCCCTTTCCCTGACTAGAATGCAAAAGACTTTGTTATCTTATACTCACTACAGGATCTTTGTCCCGTTGGGTTTATTAACCCTACAGCTCGCGGACAACGTTTCATTTTTGGCTTTGGCAGCTGTTCTGACTTGCTCCCGTTCGCACTTTACATAGAACTACTAAGATTTCCTGTTGTGAATCGTTATTCACGCTGCCCTGATCCCGATATCTTCTGCCCTGCTCACACATCTGCATATCTGCATACTTGCATTACCCACACGCGTACCCTCGTACAGACCCACATTCGGGGATGATGGACCACATCGCTCCTTCGCTTCTCGATCCACATACTTGGCCGTTTGGTCAATGATCACTGGCATATCTGGAAACAAACCTGCACGCTTTCACGATCATCGTGAGCAGACTGAGGCTTGAAAAGCTCAGTTGAGGAGTCAACGACGTGTGCACATATTGGGATTCCATCTGAGTCAAGGAAATAGAGTTGTGCAAACGGGAGATGGAAATTGAGCTGAAGGGCCCGCTTACATCAGCGCTTCTCTGATCCCGTCAGCGGGGCCCGGAAAACACCGGATTGAACATACGCAAGGAAGCAACGTCTGAGTCTCCGAGATAATTCCATACTCACCGGTGCGCAACGCGGGCCATCGTCCATCATCGACACACACGCTTGTTGAAGCAGGCACCACGTGCACCTGATGAGGCGCATCAATAAGAGCAGGAACTAGCAGGGAGAATGCGGAAACAAGAACGATCTCGTGGCTGCGTAAGAACGCTAGTTGCGACAAGAATCAAGATCACAATGCGCATTCCGATGGCCGTGTTCTCCAAAAAATCCAATCACATGAGGGATTGCAAAATCAAAAATGGTTTGCCCTCAATATTCGACTTCGAGATCACCATCTTTCGGTACCCAGTCCATTGACAACTCACTGCCCCACTTCTCTGTCATGTGTGCATGGTCGTGAACTTCCGGAACAAAAGCCCATCATTCGTGGAGGTGGGGTAACGAGCCCGGTGGAGGTAATAGATGGTGAATAAAAAGATGTTGTGTGGAAGAAGTGGAGAACACATTTTCTCTCTCTCTCTCTTCTTCGCCGGCAATGGATAACAAGCCCACGGAAAAGGTCGTCGAGACCACAAGCATTGTGGACTCCGACGGCCCTTACCATGCGGAACTATACGATCCCTCCAAAGAGTCGATCTGGACGCGACTTGGAGTCAACTTTGAAAGTTTCAAGCGCGCTCCGGGCACCACTGGGTACATGCTTCATAAGGCTCGCGTCGATTATTATTTACTTTGATTTCTATTAGTGGTCAGGTCGTTGCTGGTGCTGGCAATGTCCAGGACCTCGAAAAAGTCGTGGCTGATGCCCCGATGCTCCAACAAAAAATGAAGCCCAGACATCTTCAAATGATTGCCGTCGGTGCGTTCGATCTTCCCTCCGATTTTTCGAGTGCTGATTCCACTCACTTTAGGCGGTAGTATTGGTACTGGTCTATTTGTCGGCTCCGGCTCTGCGCTCCACCACGGAGGTCCTGCTGGAGTCTTGATTGCGTGGCTTCTCATTGGTATCATGTTGATCAACGTCACACAGGTAGGTTTTTTTTTCTCGGGCATGCTTTGACGAGGATCTAACTTCACTTCGTTTCTTCAGGCTCTCGGTGAAATGTCTATCCTTTATCCCGTCTCTGGAGGTTTTTACACTCTGTCCGCTCGTTTCTTGGACCCCGCCTTTGCCTTTGCCATGGGATGGAATTATGTCTTCCAATGGGCTGTCGTCCTTCCGCTTGAAATCACCGTCGCCGGGACAACAGTTCAATATTGGGGCAAACATATTATGCCTCTAGCTGGGTGGATTACGATCTTTTACGTAGTTATCAGTGAGCCCTCTTTTTTTATATCTTAGCCCAATCATTTCGTTAATAATCATTTCAGTTATCGCTAGCGTCTTCGGAACACTGGGTTTCGCCGAGGAAGAATTCTGGTCGTCATGCCTCAAACTTTTCGTAGTTATCATGTTCATTTTCATTGGCATTGTCTGCATCTGTGGCGGCGGCCCCAAGGGTGGAGAGTATGATCACTACATCGGTGGGACATTCTGGAAGGATCCTGGCCCGTTCGCTGCTGGTTTCAAGGGTATCTGCGCAGTATTCGTCACCGCGGCTTTCTCGTTTGGTAAGGCGATTCACCATACACGCCGCAATCTTGAATTCACCTTTCGTTCACTAGCTGGCACGGAGTTGGTTGGTCTGGCTGCTTCTGAGACTCCTAATCCTCGTGAGACTATGCCCGCTGCCGTGAAGGGTACCTTTTGGCGTATCGTAAGTCTTCGCTGTTTAATGCCTGAATGCCTTTATTGACGCCTTGAGATAGACGCTCATTTATGTCACCTCCCTGATCATCATCGGCCTCCTCATCCCCTGGAATGAGCCTCGTCTCCTTGGTGGAGGAGGAGCCGCCGCGTCACCTTTCGTCATTGCCCTCGACAATGCTAGAATCAAGGGTCTCAACCGTGAGTTCTGTTTTATTCAAGATGTAACATATACATTTAACAGAAAGCTCTCTATAGATTTTGTTAACATAACAATCTGCATTTCGGTCCTTTCCATTGGACTGTCATGCGTCTATGCTGGATCTCGTACACTGACGGCCCTCGCAGAAACTGGCTACGCCCCAAAAATCTTTGCTTATGGTGCGTACGCTGTCTAACCTCAAGACTTATCTCAAGACCTTGCTCTATACACATAGTTGACAAGTCCGGCCGACCTCTCTGGTCTGTGATTGCCATTCTCTCGTTCGGACCACTCGGTTACATCAATGTTGTTGCTGCCGGTGATACCGTCTGTGGGTAACCGTTTCGCCCTCTCAACTAATTCAGCCGTCTAACCAAAGTTCGCAGTCATGTGGCTCCTTGCCTTGTCGGGGTTATCTACACTTTTCTCTTGGGGATCGATCTGCCTCTGTCACGTTCGTTTCAGAAAAGCATGGAAAGTCCAGGGTCACTCGCTAGAAGAATTGCCTTTCCAGGCCCTTGGCGGGGTCTATGGATCCTGGTTTGGAATCATTCTCGTCTCGCTGGTCATGGTCGCCCAATTTTACGTGGTGCGTTGTTAAGATCCGGATTAAATGATCGCTCAACACCTCTGATACACGTTTTCGTAGGCTCTTTGGCCCGCTGGCGGGATGTCCAGCGATCCTAAAGAGGTCGCGATTAATTTCTTCTGTACGTCAATTTCGCCGATTCACCCAAATATTGTCTTTTTCTGAGCACTCGTTCTGGACAGCTGCGTACCTTGCTTTCCCCGTGATGATCATCTTTTACATCATTGGTTTCGCCTGGAAACGCACATGGCCCCTACGAGCTTCCGAGATCAACCTTGACCAGGGTCGCAAGTCGTGGCTTACGGTCGAGGAGATGAGAGCTGTGCGTCACTATTTTGCATCTCATCATTTTTTTTTTGTATGCTAAACACGAATTCAAGTATCACGCGGAACGCGCAGCCGCACCTATGCACATCCGGGTCTACCGCATGCTCTTCACGCACTGAGAAAAGTTTCACATTGTATTTTTACTTCTAAATGATGGGAAATTCGAAGCGGGTCGTGAGCAGTAGTGCTAGTGAACGTTGTCGAGCCCTCCAAAAAAAAAAAAAAAGAAACACAGACTTACAGTGTCTTTCACTGCCGTTTGCACAGCGTGATAATTTCGTGTTTGCTTGTGTTGTACCTGTTACCACTGGGGGAGTTGGCTTGTTTGTGCAGCGGGGAAATTGTGATAAAACGAGTATATAATAAAATCTTGTTTTGGTTTGAAGCGCTGGAGAAAACTTGAAAGAACTTAAAATTTATTCTTCAAATTGTCTAGTATTTACTGTCCACTTTTTACCAGAATATAATTACAAATTGTTTTGCTTAAACCATGTAAGGAAAGAGGGAAGATATAAATAATATATCTAGCAGCAAGGCACGAGAAAAAAGCTGATAATATTAGAGAATATTTTTACATTATATGACCCGGATAAATGTCTCAATGGGTTTCCATTTGATCGCCGACTTGTAAGGTGAATATATTCGGATCTTAGGCACTGATCAAAGTGTGGTTAGAATGTGGCAGAATTGAGTCACGTCACGCCCCGACGATTTCCAGAACCAGTAATAGGGCGCGCATTTTTTCTGGGCCTTTGTAGGCCTAGGAGTCTTCAGTACTAGTGACCGTTTCCTTATTATGAATTCATGATTAATATCATAACTCTAGATTTATGGTTAATGTACGCCATCGCGATCACGTACGTAAGTCATGATCAGATGCACAGTCAAATATTGCGTAAAGAACAATGATTTTGTGCAACTAGACTTCTGACTTCGCTTATCGCCCTCTGGTTTCTCCACTACTCACCTCCTTCTTCCTTACACCTATTGGCCTTGCCAAAGGTGTACTCGCTTCCCACCTTCCCTCCTTGCTGATATGGCCTTTTGGATTTTCCATGGGTCCATGCTCAGATCAACTTCATAGTCACCCGGCGCCAATTCCTTCCTGGAGAAGACACCAGCTGCCAGTGCGGGGAACCACTCCAAACCCCCGAGCACAACATCAAGGGCTGCACCCGATAGTTGAACCGGCGCGGACACTCAGGCTGCAGAAGGACGAGAGCTGGCACTCCCGGAACTACTGGTCAACAAACGGCATAGCAGCGCCAACAGAACTTGTCAAGGAGACAGGCGCATTTACATTCTCCGAAGAGAAATGCAAACCAAAAGCGACGCCTACATATTTCGACGAGCCGTGACCACCGGACCCGGACTCGGGCTACGAGACAAAACCTATCACGCTCGCAAGCACGCACTGCAGCCACAGCGATGACACAGCCCGAGCGCGCCAGTATTCATTTCTTTCCTAGCACCCCCGTGCACACGTCACCACCTGTTCTTCTGGGCACTTAAACCCATTTCTTCTGTCACCCATATGCATGGCCATTCGTCTGAGTACTGCAGTGGTGGACTTGTTCTCGCGTTCATTGCATCCGTCAATGGGACAGGCGGGACGTTGAGAAGGGCGAGCGTAACACCAGTACGGAATCTTCTTTTGAGATCAACGCGACCAGGTTTTTTTACTTTCTTTTGCTATCAATAACGACGCCAACCCTGCCTTTGTCATTTCTCCCGACATTTTCACCGCCATTTGCTTCGCTGGATGTGACCTAATTGACTCTGCTATCGGACCTGACGGCAAGCCGTTCAAGTTCTCTGACTCCAACCGGTCAGGAGCTCTCACCGCCCGTGGATATGACGCTGGAAGATACCTTCCAGCCTTCTCCTGTTGATCGCGCCAGCGTCAGCGTTGCTGTTGTGACCGTCTTCAACTCGACATCCCTTGGGTCGGCAAGACCTCTACCGACCTTTCTGTTATGATCAATGTTAGCAGTAAGTCTAGTTTCATCAATCTTTCGCCGCTATCCACTCAGTTATATTTCAGCGACCGTTTAGTCCCTTCACAGCCGCATTTCCTCTCTTTCAAGCACAAGACCATTCATCATCTTTTTGGCTCAATTTCATGCAGACTGCCTGGTGCTGGTGCTGGGGTCACTGAGGAGTTTACGGCTACTCCGAGCAGGTGCCGGTGGCATCACAATGAACACAAAGGGCCAGCACGGAGCCGAGGGGCATACAGCTACCTCTGGGACTCATTACGTTGTAAGCTTGAGTGCGTTAAAACGGATATACTAGTACTGAGGCATCGTGGTACGTTAAATCGTTAAGTCATGCCTTGTAAAGTACTCACGGCATAAAGCCAAGAAATCATAGATGTCATCGCGAAACGTAAAGTGTCGTATTGTGGTACGTTCAATAG